GCTACACATCATCATAGAACAGAGTATAGAATGGCAGTCAACTCTACACCTCAACTTTATCGACTTTGAGAAGGCCTTTGACAGCGTCAACTGAGGGGTAATTTGGAAACTGCTTCAATACTACGGAATACCACAAACTCTTATCAACCTCATTCAACAACTATATGAAGATGCCATATGCCAAGAAATTGACAATGGGAAGCTCAGTGATACTTTTGAAGTGTAGACAGGAGTAAGACAAGGCTGTCTACTATCACTAATGATCTCCTTGATCGCAATCGACTGAATCATGCAGCAAACAGTGAGGAGCAAGAAGAGGGGATATTCTGAACCACAGAATAGAACCTAGAAGATTCGGATTTCGATGATGATTTGTGTCCAATATCGCACAAGCTAGAAGATCCGCAGGCGCAAAACTAACAAGTTGGCGGAGGAGGCAGCGAAAACGTGACTTCAAGTGAACGCAAAGAAGACAGAGGTGATGAAGATACCCAACCAACAACAACAGCAATACCAAGCTCCAATCACCATCAACGGGAGGAACTTAAAGGAAGTGGTCCCTTTCATCAATCTAGGCAGCATTGTTTCAACTACAGGCGGCGGCACAGACGACGACGTCAAAGCTAGGATAAGAAAAGCAAGACAGGCATTCACTAACCTGATACCAGTGTGGAGATCTACTGCACACAGCACAAAGCGTGGACGAGGCCTGGATTTTCAACACCAACGTCGAGTCAGTGCTTCTGTGTAGTTCAGAGACTTGGAGCGTCATGAAAAGCACTTCCAACAAACTACAGACATTCATCAACAACTGCCTAAGCTGACTCACTACTGAAGCTCGGATGGTCAGAAAGAATAAGCAACAAGGAACTCTGGCTGGTGATGATCCAACCAAGAACCTGTCACCCAACAAATTTGCAGAAGGAAGTGGAGGTGGATTGGGCATACACTGAGAAGGCCGATTGGGGACATGACGTGTCAGGCCGGCCAGGCACTCGAGTGGAACCCAGATGGGAAACGAAGAGTTGGGCGTCCGAGATGAGGGTGATATGGAGATGGTGTGAGGAAGAAATGAGAGCTTGTGAGCAGTCGTGGAGCGAGGTTCAACAGACTGCAGAGAACAGAGAGCAATGGAGACGTCCTACTGAAGCCTTATGTTCCTTTAGAAACCCTAAGGCTTAATAATAATAATAATTATTATTATTATTATTAGTCCCTTGGGTTCCTAGTGGAACATAGGGCTTCAGTAGCACGCCTCCAGTGACCTCTGTTCTCTGAGATCTTTTGAACCTGGTTCCACGACAGCCCACAACCTCTCATTTCCTCCTCGCATGACCTCCTCCATGTCACCCTCGGACGTCCAACTCGTCGCTTCCCATGGGGATTCCACTCGAGTAACTGGCCTGACGCGTGATGTCCTCAGTCGGCCTTCTCAGTGCATGGCCAATCCATCTCCACTTCTTCCTGCATATTTGTTGCGTGATAGGTTCTTGGTTGGTTCGTTCCCAGAGTTCCTTGTTGCTTATTTTTTCTGGCCATCTGATCTTCAGCAGCGAGCGTAAGCAGTTGTTGATGAATGTCTGTAGTTTATTGGAAATGCCTTTCGTGACGCGCCAAGTCTCTGAGCCATACAAGAGCACTGACTTGACGTTAGTGTTGAAAATCCGTATCTTGTTCCACATGCTGAATGCAGAAGATCTCCACACTGGTTTCAGGCTAATGAACGCCTGTCTTGCTTTTCCGATTCTGACTTTGACGTCCTCGTCCGTCCCGCCTGTAGTTGAAACAGTGCTGCATGCCTAGATAAGTGAAGGAGGTTACTTCCTTCAAGTTTCTCCCGTTGACGGTGATTGGAGTTTGTTGTTGTTGTTGATGTTGGTGGTGCGGTATCTTCATCACTTCTGTCTTCTCTATATTCACCTGAAGTCCCGTCTTAGCTGCCTCTTCTGTCAACTTGTTAGTTTTTGCCTGCAGATCTTCAAGTTTATGTGACATTAGGCATAAGTCATCGGCGAAATCCAAGTCTTCTAGGTTCTTTTCCGTCGTCCAGTGTATCCCCCTCTTCTCGCTGCCTACTGTTTGCTGCATGATCCAGTCCACCACAATAAGGAATATCATGGGGGATAGTAGGCAGCCTTGTTTCACTCCTGTCTTCACTTCAAAGGCATCACTGAGCTTCCCATTGTGGATTACTTGGCATGTGGCATCTTCATATAGTTGTTGAATGAGGCGGATAAAGGTTTGCGGTACTCCGTAGTATTGAAGCAGTTTCCAAATTACTTCTCGGTCGACGCTGTCAAAGGCCTTCTCAAAGTCGATGAAGTTGAGGTATAGAGCTGATTGCCATTCTACGCTCTGTTCTATGATGATACGAAGCGTTGCAATTTGGTCAGCACATGATTTGTACTTCCTGAAGCCTGCCTGTTCCGGTCGCAGTTTTGAATCCAGTGCGTCTTTAAGCCTCTCCAGGATGATGCGGCTTAATATTTTACTTGGGGTGGATAGGAGAGTGATTCCGCGCCAGTTCTTGCAAACACTGAGGTCTCCCTTCTTCGGCAGTTTGACAAGGTAACCCTTCTTCCAATCGTCAGGTACCTTCTCTTCCTTCCACACCTTCTGCAATAGTGGTGTGAGCATGTCCGCTGTTGTCTCTGCATCTGTTCTCAGTGCTTCTGGCGGTATTCCATCTGGTCCTGCTGCTTTCCTGCATTTCAGTAGCTTTATGGCGTTCAGGACTTCCATTTTCGTTGGGGGATTAATGTTCACTTGTAATTCAGCGGCTGCAGGTGGTATTTCTGGACGAAGTGCAGGTGGTGGTCGATTCAAGAGCTTCTTGAAGTGGTCGGCCCATCGTTTCCTCTGTTTCTCTTCTTTTGTAATTAAATTTCCTTCTTCATCTTTTATTGGTTTCATCTGTGTTGGTCTCTTCCCTGATAGCAACCTGGTTATTTGATACAATGTCGTCAGGTCTCTCTTACCTGCAGCCTGTTCTGCTTCACTTGCCAGTGTGTCGTAGAAGTGTCTTTTGTCTTTGCGTGCACTCTTCTTCACTTCTTTATCCAGTGTTTTATACATTGTGCTCAGTTCCTCTTGTCGTTGAGCATCCTTGCACTGCACTGGTTTATCTTCTGCTTCACCATGCTCCTCTCCCTGCTCGATCAGCTTCCAGGTATCCGTCGAGATCCATTCCTTGTCCTTTCTTCTTCCTTCCTAATACGGCTGTCCAGGTTTCTCTCCACATCTCTTTCAAAGACTTCCAGTGTTCTTCTACACAGGTTTCTTCAGGGATGTTGCGCGATATCTCCCATTTTGTCTTGATGGCTTCCGTGAAGATCTCCTTTGTAATTTCATCCTTCAGTTTCCGAGTGTGTACTTGAATTGAGGTCTATCACCAGCTTCCTTGAAGGCTTTTAACTTGATTTGGAAGGTTCCTTGCACTAGATAGTGAGTGGTGCCAACATATATCTGCTCCAATTCTTGACCTGGTGTTAGGGTTAGGGTAGTGTTAGGATGAGGGTTAGGGTTAGGGTTAGGGTTAGGTTTAGGCTTAGGGTTAGGGTTAGGGTTAGGGTTAGGGTTAGGCTTAGGCTTATTGTTAGGGTTAGGGTTAGGGGTTAGGGTTAGGGTTACGGTTAGGGTTAGGGTTACGTTTAGGGTTAGGGTTAGGGTTATTGTAAGGTTTAGGGTTAGGGTTAGGGTTAGGGTTAGGGTTAGGGTTAGGGTTAGGGTTAGGGTTAGGGTTAGGGT